GAAGTCCAGTCATGTGGTTAAGAACCTCGACAGTATACGTACTTTTCTTCTCATCAGGACAGCGTGATGCTCACACATTCAGCACATCAAGATCAATATTTCAAGGTTGTGCAACGATGAGTAGCGATAAACATTTGTTTTGACAACAGCAAACGCGGAGATAAAAGTGGCGGTATCGTTTTTACCAAAGGGCTTTCACCACCCTCTGTCACATGGGTGCAGCTGTAAACCTTGGGGAGGGGGGGGGGGGGGGTGGAAATTGCTGGAGACAAGTTCCTTCCGATTTGTCCAACAAGCCGAATTCAGCACGCTGTTGTCGAGACCGCAGCCAGGATCGTGACGAAATTTACTTTACACCGCATGCACCGATGCCTTGTATGTATTTAGCACCCACTTGTTCGTCATTGTGTACACTGTTCAGCAAAAAAACCAGCTGTACCTGAGGCGTCGTAACTCCACGTAATCGTGTCGTCAGAAAGTCACCGTTTGATCACTCAGTCGCCCACGGGGCGCACTGTTGAAACACGAGACGCGCGCGCACACGCGCCTGATGTTGCCAGCACCCGGTACCCGCCATTCATGTTCAGTTCACTCATTCGTTGCGGCGAAAAGGTAAGCTGAGCCAGAGTGGCGATTAAACGTGTCGCTCGAGCCCGTTGTGGAAACAAGGGTCAGTGAAGGCACACGTGCCGAGTGAAAGATAATTGGCGACGGGCGTGATGAGAGGGCTCATGAAATGCCGCTATCATAGAGCGAAGGCTGGTACTACGGCAGTACAGCGCTCCCACTGGCCTTTCGGGGTGTGTTATAGTGTCATTGCAGAGTCTGACAGCACAGAAACATTACGACAGCATTGACGTGTGGCAACAGTGAACTTAGGGAGACCTGGCATTTGCACTGGTAGCAAGCACGAATTTTTAAAGCTTGGAATGCGCCGTAACACTATCCAGAGCGGAATCTGAAGGGCAAGATTTGAAAGAGCGACAATCGCTGATCATGTCTCAATCAGCAGATCGTGGATTAATGACGAAAAGATGCGCCAAATGATGCTTCCAGATCTTTTTTTGCTACTGCTCTGGCGCAAGCCTCGAGTTCAGCGCATGAATACCTCGACTTCAACGCTCTAAATCAGTAAGCGTTGACGGCAATTATCTCAAGTTCAATTGACAGGGACTGTTCTACCTTTGAAAATATCGAGGTAAGCATTAGACTTGGTGGAACAATCTCACTTGGAGTTGTTGGTATGCCTTTAAGCACAAAAACTGCCTGCACAATGCGCAATGTACTGCAAGGTGGCATAATTTATTTATTCATGTAAGTTCAACCTACCGACACTAATTACGCGTTCTTTTGCCTTCCTCGTAGCTTTCTTGCATATTTTTGCGTGGTGACATACTCCTGATTTGCAGTTGTATTTTTTGGAGCGATGCTATTCCCAATTTATTCGATTCTCAGCCTCATGTCCGTCATATGTAGCAATTGCCCGAATGACCGTGTTACTTATAATAAAACGCAGTTCGTGATCGAAGCATCCAATTAGCAACGTAAAATGAGTTGTGAACAATGACATTTTTTCGTTGAAACGCTTAGTGCTGCATCACCGCAAACACGAATTTTTAGGTAGCCAAATTTTTCTTCACCCTAAGCGCAGAACAGCCATTGATGTTTCGTGACCTGACTTTTCCATAACTTCGCATAGGTCTGGGTGACTTTAAAAAACGCGGACACAAAAGGCTGCACAAGTTTGCGCACATCAAGCTCAGAAAGAAGGTGGTTTGAGGTCTTAAAAACGGCATGGCTGTGAACTACAGGGGTTATCATTGAAATCGACATGACTGTGACTCTGCAGGGGGGGTTATCATTGAAATCGCGACACAAGTCGAACCCCATACGAATGTTAAGCCCCTTTTAAAGGAGTCTTCCAAATTTGAACGTGGTTTTGAACTGAAAAAACCATCTGGAAGACCATTCAGTGCAGTTCACAACTCTGCCCCTCTTAAGACCTAAGCCACTCTAGTTTCTTAGTTCCACGCCCGCGAAGCTATGCAGACTTTTTCGTGCAGACTATTTCAAGATCACTCAGATATCCACGACGCCATAACAACGTCACTCAAATTCTGCCATTACATTGGCCATGCGGCTATTCAGGCCAAGCAAAATGTAATTTTCGACTCGTTCATTAGCGTTCGTTAGCACGATTTCCAGATGTAAAGGCTGTCAATTGGCACTCAATCAATACTGTGCAAGACACGATGACGCGATCAAACGATGGTGTATTGAGGAGCTTATTAACTAAATGCAGAAAATGTGTTGCCTCGAGCAGTCTCTAATCACTTAAAAGTGTACCATTAGTTAAAAGTGAACTTATTTGATCACGTCTGTTACCTTAGTTTGTCAAAATGTGGAACACTGCTTCAATGCTATCCCTATCGGTTTGAGATTGCCCTTGAAACATGATATAGAGCTTTTCAGGAATTTTCAACAACCACCTTCCAGCATGCACACGCGTTTAAAGAGGGTGGGGGGGGGGGGGGGGAAGGGGCGAGTGGCCACCGACAGATTTCCGCCAAGGTTATAAGCGATTCACAAAATGTTGCTGCACGAAAAATGGGTTACAGATGAAGTTTGTTTCCTATGCTCAATATACGTCACTGGTAGTGAACACATCACACCCGGTTGCCATCAGACATCCCGGCAGCCGGAGGTCGGATCAGCCAGGAAGTAGTATGAACTGTGTTGGACTGATCAATAAATAATGCAAAAAAGACCGTCCATAGAGCACAACAGGCCTCGTCATGCGTATTCAAATAGGTAGCTCCGTTAAGCAAGCCCTCGTGTACTTGTTCGAACTGTTAGACCCATAAGGAATTTAAAAGCAAATTGCGTGTTCTGCATACCCAACGTTGATCTTTCTAACACTATAACAGCACATGTTAGTCATAAGACAGCATCATATAGCCTTGCCATCTAAGAGGTAGGGAGCACTCGGTCAGCTGATTATGCGAAAAGTGGACGGTGACACCACTTTGCGTTTTAATAAGCCTCATTCTTTGCCGGAGAAGCCATGTTTAAAGCAAATGCTATCCTCGTTGAATTTCTACCATCTTGATCAACCGTAAAAAAGATACAATAATCAACTGCACGCCGATGGGCATATGAGTTGATGATCATTTCCTTTGTTTTTATATTAAAATAATAGTCCTTGGAATGCAGTTGATCATGTGTTCATATTACAATATCTATAATCACGCCAAATACCCTCTGCATTCTACAAAGCCCCCTGATGTACTTATTTTAGAAACTAATCCAGTTTCCACGTGAAGCCACGTACAATTCCTTTTACACTGGAAAGTAATCTTATCGCGGGGAAGCTGAAGGCCACGGGTCGAAACTAGGTCCAGAGCTCAACGACCAGGCGTCACAGCAACGCGGGAGAAAGCGACCAATCTTGTTGGTACGAGATTGGGTCGATGAGTGCAAATTGTCGTCGTTTCATCCACGGATCCACCCATTTTAGATAATTTTTGAGGATTGATTCCGTTATCGGCAGCCAGAACCAATACGGATCCGGCAGGCGGCTGATTATTTTTCGTTGTTGTTTAATCTTGTGTTTTCAAAGCTGGCCTTAGTTTTCCCCAAAGATAGTTGCCCCCAACTAAAATGACCTGCCTCCAACTAGAATGACCTGCGGCCGCTGCTGCCTGCGGCAATAGCAGCGCTAGAGTTCCGGTGATATCAAAGGTCGGAATGGACCGTGCCAAGTATGGCTGTACAATAGACTTTCGCCACCAAGTTTTGTCTTTGTCCATTGTCCATTGTTGTTACACGATCCGAAGGTGGGTCAGGATTCACGCGAAAGGCACTGCTTAGCTTCGGCTTTGACCCCAGAAAACAGCTCATTTGTAGGGTTTAGTTTATTCACGATCCGATGGTGGGTCACAATCACGGCAGCCACGATCCAATAGTGCTGTTTCACCATCCGAAGGTGGGTCACGAATCACGCAAAAAGCACTGCTTAGCTCTGGCTTTGGTACTAGAAATCCACCCATTCATAGGGCTTGGACTAGTATTCAAAAGCAACTACACTGCAGTTTAAGCTAATAAACATTGGACGATGAATGTGCACAAGCACAGAGACTGATGCATTATGAACAATATTAATACGAGCTAGGTGCCCTTTTCGCGATGCAATATCGAGCCTGTTCATGACAGGTGCAGCCTCATAAGTGCTTTACTGTGATGTCGATGGAACGCATAACAAAACAGGGTGATGCATTAAGGGAATATATATGTGTATGCATATATATATATATATATATATATATATATATACATCTTTAAAAATACTTCATCTTTAAAAATACTTCATCGAAACAAACATTCATGTTTCGAATACAATTTGTATTGCGTACTCATTTTCTCAAAACTGAACGGACAAAGATGTAACACACAATCGAATCTCTGCGCGTCGTTAAAATGTGCCTTAAAGGGAGAAATTCGACTGTTGTTGGGACCATTCTCGTATGATTGTCATGCCGCACAGCCAGCTTGGAAACAATATTATTACGTTTCTGTTTTGCCCGTGAAACGGACATAACAGCACACTACACAACTTGAAATGCACGGCAGAACCAGCCAGCAGTGAATACCCGTGGAGCTCCTCGAGCATCGGTGCATTTAATACACCAATACTCCATGCCTCTATGCTCTGTTATCATGTAACATAACCATGAAATCGATCACGAGCAACGTGAACGGAGGAACAGCGCAACGTTCCTTGATGCCTGCCGAACGTCGATGCCAAATGTTCTGTGACATTTGTGTAGCAGGAACGAAGGTGCGGCGAGCCGGAAACAAACGCGGATAGACGCTGGGAATGTGCTGTCGCGCGGCGGACGCCGTCTCGAGCGAGAGAAGGGAGCAGGCGGACGGCGCCGCCGGTTAGTGGTCCCGAAGACGACCCACTTCCCGGCGCGAATGCATAAAACGGCCGGCGCCCGCCGTCTCCAGCCAGTGTTCCGCTTGTCAGCCGGTGAGAAGGCCTGTCTGCTGCCTGCGCATCCCGCCACACACACACGCCACCGGCGGCCATGAGGACCCACGTGCTGTTCGCCGCCTGCTTCCTCGCAGGTGAGAAGGGGCTGCGGCGGCCGCCGGCGTTCACTTCGTACCGCGTCCACTTTTAACTGTCAAAATAGGCGTAGTTCTTGATCCTCAGTATCGTGATACAAATGCTCAGGTTGTGGGAGATTGGTGAGGTTCTGTCTCTTTTCCTGGCTGCAATTTTGTGGAAATGGCTAATTCGAACGAAACCAATCCGATGTTTTCATGTTGTTCGAGCGTTATCTTTCCAAGCCAACCCCCAACCAGAGGAATAACCGGATGTTATTCAGGGTATGATAGTCATGCATACATGATAGCTAAATGATACGATATACGATACGCGCGACACACTTCGATATGACGATAATGATAGCGATATTGTGTCAAACATTCAAGATACGCTGAACTCTTGACCCTCAGTGCTATGGTACTAATGGCTGAGCCGTATGCAATTCGCAAGGCTCTGTCACCTTTCTTGACTGCAAGCCAATAGTCAACAACTTGTCGATGCTTTGCTTTTCATGCTGCATGAACGCACTGTTTCCAGACCGACCTCCACGATTTCATACGTTGAATCTTAATCGAGATTCGGAGCGTAATTGTGCCTCATATTTCCAACTTATGCTGCTCACATCTTTGAGCCACACGATACTGTGCGTGATATCTTTGCACCGGTTTTGGACCTCCAGTGGTACACGCCAATCGTAGACACGGAGTCTCAACTGAAATCAACCGTAGCCATAGGCATCTGGGTAGCCCGGCGCGCAACGTCCTCGGATCGCCGCGTGCCTCATCTGTTGGCCCAAATTTGCTGGCGTTTGCACTCGCTACGGCGATGGGAAGGCTGAGCAGGGCCCCAACTCAGCTGTTTACCTATAAACCATCACATCGCCGTAGACTGATCAGGGCCCCAAAACAACTGTTTACCTATAAGCCATCACATCAGGCCGTCTGGCATGACCCGTAGACTGATCAGGGCCCCAACACAACTGTTTTCCTATAAGCCATCACATCACCGTGGACTGATCAGGGCCCCAACACAACTGTTTACCTATAAGCCATCACATCAGGCCGTCTGGCATGACCCGTAGACTGATCAGGGCCCCAACACAACTGTTTACCTATAAGCCATCACATCACCGTGGACTGATCAGGGCCCCAACACAACTGTTTACCTATAAGCCATGATAAGCCATCACATCAGGCCGTTTGGCATGACGCGTATATTTTGTAGCTGACTGTCTATGCAAACACTCATCCGAACACTGGCATTTATCTGTGAATAATAGGCGTATGACCACAATGTACCGAAAATGGCTTATCGGAAACGTTCTTACCTTTTGGCTTTTAAAAGAGCTATTCGTATCGTAAAACAACAGTCCGAATAGCCTTATCCCTCGCAGAACAGCCAGGAGAATGGGGAGATGCATGTTTCGATATTTCGGCTGCATGTCTTTATCGAAACGAAAGACATTTTGTTTCGATAGAGGCATGTCGCCAAAACATCAGTACATCTATCTCTCTATTCTTCTGGCTATTCGACGGGGAAAAAAACCTATCGGTACCATCTTATTCATAGGCATAAGACAGCTTCTAGCAAGGACACTGAACAGCTTGCGTACTCGCAAAGGAGTTGCATGATACCATAGATGATTCTGTCAGAAGGATTGCAAGGAAATTCATGGCTTTCTTTTATATGAGTGATCTAAATTAAGTACCCCTTTTTAGTTCCCACATTATTTTATTCACCATAAAAATCTTACTTATCTTCTATTGTCCCTATGCATTATTCATTCCTACGTCGATAAGCCCACATGCTGAACGTCAAGTGCATTTGAGGTAGATGGCAAGCCCATTCTCGCAAATATCTCCCTTCACCACTCTCTATCATGTCATCAAAATTTTCTTTGCACAAGTATTTGGACTCAGGTATCGCTTTTTTGTCATCTAAACTTTTGACGCGCTTATGTGCATAAGGCCACCGTTGTTTTGTACAGCCTCTGTAATTCTCTTTTTGCGGTGAACATTTCTAAATTGAATGCAAAAGAAGCAGAGTGAATAATATAGATAAGATATGTGTTCGGACCGCCGGCCTCGTCTGGTATGTTTGACTCTCCGATCCTCGTCAGGTGTTATGGAGTCGTGAGAAACACCGGATGATATCTGACTCTTAGAAAGACCAGATGACGTTTGTTCCTTGGAATTGCTGAAACTCTCAAAAAAACATTTTATCAATAATATACAAAGAAGCTGCACGCACGAATGACATGGAAAGCAGTGAATTCAGAAAAGCAATTTTTCTGCAGAGTTGGCAGGGGAAGGAGCCTTTGCGCGAGCTATCCGATAAGAGCCTTATTCCGGAAAGGAAATATTTCACCAAGAATGTGTCTATTAGAGTGTGTCTATGTCACAGCCTGCCTGATCAGCAAATTTGCAGTTGCAATATTCAAAATTCAGGATACACGGCTGGGTGCAGGGTCTGGCGCGCCACTTGCATTTGTCCCGTGCCATCGATGCAGGCCTGAATACAATGTGGTTGCATGGCGTCGGCGGCGCCGCAGTCATTGGGTCAGTGGGGCTGTAACGGAACCGCCCGGACGGTCGGGTAAGTGGTGGCCAGCCGGCGACCCACTCGATTTGAGCACACCCTGCACACGAGCCGACGGCTGGCCGACACTGGCACACACGGCTGGCCACGGCTGGGCGCGTCGAGAGACGTTCCCGGTGAGCGCTGGTGAACCGATCCGCGGGCTGAGCGAAACGGACTGGTCAACGATAAGGACTACGCGCCACCATCACCGTCCACTTAGACATGACACTGATGGCATTCATATGGGTGATCTGTACATGAACTGCCAGTGTATTCGCGGCCAAGAAACATATATTTATCACATGGAGATAAAGTAGTCGACACACGTATGGTACTTTTTCAAAGTCGGAATTAGCCTGCACTGGAAGTCATTTGTCTCTCAAGAAAAATAAAGTAGCGATGTCATGTGGCCTGCCGGCATTTGGCTTAACTCGGCGCTCTCTAGGGTTTGAAGCGATGCGTATGCGGTTTGCCGCCGACGGACGCCTTGCGTCATCCGTACACGTACTCTGCTAATGCATGACCACCACCGAATATCGAAGTCCCAATAGCTCTGCGTGCTTTGGTAAAAGGCGTTGTAGTTAAGGGTTTCAGATCTTGCACATAGCTATTCTAACATTGTGACTATGTGTGCAGAGAAAAACTTTCCATCTCCGAAGCCGTGCATGATGTCTTGCATCGCGCCTACATCCTGTGTCCCCAGAGCATCCTCATTCCACGCACAGCGAGGGGCCATCCTCAGTGCAGTATGTGCTGACGCTCCTCTCGCCGCCCGTTCAGTCGACGCTGCTACACATGTGACATGGGCGCCGTCCCCCTCACACCAGTGGACCGCCAGCCGTCTCAGCGGCGTGCTGCCCGCCCCTCGGACCACCTGCCACCACTGCTGCTCGCCCCTCGGACCTCGCCCCTCGTACCACCTCCCTTGCTGCCTGCCCCTCGGACCACCTACCGTGCTGCCCGCCCCTCAGACTACCTGCCGTGCTGCCCGCCCCTCGGACCACCTGCCGCGCTGCCCGCCCCTCAGACCACCTGCCGTGCTGCCCGCCCCTCAGACCACCTGGCGTGCTGCCCGCCCCTCAGACCACCTGCCGCGCTGCCCGCCCCTCGGACCACCTGCCGCGCTGCCCGCCCCTCGGACCGCCCGCCCGTCGGGGCCATCCCATGCTGCCCGTCCGCGGGGGCCATCCCCCGTGCTGCCCATCCGTCGGGTCACTTCCCGTGCTGCCCGCCTGTCGGGTCACCTCCCGTGCTGTCCGCCCGTCGGGGTCACGTCCCCTGCTGCCCAACTGTCGGGTCACCTCCCGCACCGCCCACCCGCCACGGTCACTTCCCGTGCTGCCCACCCGCAGGGGTCACCCCTTGTACCGTGGCCGGCCTAACAGCTGGCGGCCTCGGTACTGCTCATTGTTTGGCGGCAGAGCAAGACGTGAATTCCGCCCGAGCGATTCCGGCCGGCGCACCGTCCAGGTGGGTCCCGCCCGAGCGATTCGGCCGGCGTCCAGCCGGATCCCGCCCGAGCGAGTCGGACGACACCCAGTCGAATCCCGCCCGAGCTTGTCGGCCGGCGCCCAGTCGAATCCCGCCCGGGCGAGTCGGACGACGCCCAGTCGAATCCCGCCCGAGCGAGTCGGCCGGCGCCCAGCCGGATCCCGCCACACTTTCTCGGCCAGGACGAGCCGGCTAGCGTCTCCGGATGTTATGGTCCTGGCTCATTGTCAGCGGTGGCCGTGGCTGGCCGTGGGTGAATGCCTCGTGCGCCACGGCCTACGGACGCCAGGTGCCGCCGCCCCCTGACGGACCGGCCGGCTGAGTCAGGCGGGCAGCCGTCACGGTCAACCGTGCAGCGCGGTGAAAGTCGGGTCGAAGACGTGGCAGTGTTTGACCGGAAAGGAACAAACAAAGATAGCCCAGTGCCGTCAGCCGCGACAGCCAGCGTAAGAACGGAGGGGGGGGGGGGGGGTATCAGCACTTGGTGTAACACGGCACACAGCGCTACACTTGAAATTTGCATCTGTATTCCTTCAAAGCCAATCCACAGCGTGGCTTTTCAGGTCGTTTGTTCATTGCGGCGTTGCTCGTTACGACGTCCGGCTCGTGACAACACCATGACGTCGGTTGCTAAAATATGCACGATGTGGAAACAACAAACCTAATAAGTAAATGCGCTAATTTGAAACAAAAAAAAACAGATGGTATATACCGAGATGAATGAACACAAAATGCAAGTACGTACATGGGGACCGCATTTTCTTGCATAATGGCATACATAGGAGCATACAGTAGCACATCCTCCCTCCCTCGCCCAATCATCAATCTTGGGACTACCAGAGACTTTCACGTCGATGGCTTTGGTGCGTGCCGGGTGGTGTTCATCATCAAGGCAGAAATTCGGGACTCAGCTATCACGTTATGACGATTGAGTTCGTCAGCCGGGTCAGAGGTTTTAATGGATCTTCTCGGGTGCTGATGATGTCATGGCGGATCATTCGAGAGTAAGTTAAACATTTAGCTGGCCACCAGAAGTCATCACACCACAAAGGCAGACGTGTTGGCAGCTATGGTAACACACTTAACGCCGTTTCGAAGCCATGTTGAGTCCCAATAAGACTCTGGCGTGCGCAGAGACAGCCAGGCGTCTCTCGTTATCACCCGCCCGGAATTGAAGGCCCTGGGCTGCGAGTTATCATACGGCCAGGGGCAGCTGGGGCGGTTCACGCGAGGATTTTTTACGGGCGAGTCACAATGCATGACGTCACTCCAGATTTTCATGAATGTTTTTATCATCACGTCCACATCATTGGTGTCATGCAGCTCCCCCAGTCAGCGGCGAGCAGGTCCAAGTGGATGGCGTCCCAGTCGGTCCGGTGCCAGCTGCGGGTGGTACGTGCCTGCGCTGGCTGCCTCGCTTGGCCCAGCCTGGGTGTAGTTGCGAGGCTGTTGGGCTGATGATGACGGAAGGTATCCGGGAGGACAGAGACCGTCAGTGGCAGGTCAAGCTGGTTGGTCGTTACGTGTGCGAGTGCCGTGGGCGTAGGTGGAAGGTCAGTGGGTTTATCCACCAATTGCGCCATGTTTGCCATGCGCCGGTCGTTTGGCTGCTCCACCGCCACGTACAGAGCGGTCGTTGGGCTCCGCCACCGCCACGTGCAGAACGGTCGTCTGGCGGAGCCACCGCCACGTGCAGAGCGGTAGTTTGGCTCCGCCACCGCCACGTGCAGCGCGGTCGTTTCTTATCAAGCAGAGTCTACAAAGGACCGAAAACGGTTTGTAACGTTTGGAGTCAGCCATGCCTCCAAGACGATCAAAATGGCTAATTTCCGTTCGGTTAGCAACAAGCTAGTTTCCTTCGCCTTCCTGGTTAGTGATTGGATGTTGACGTGGTTAGTCTTGAGCGGTGGGCGCGGCTGGTAATGTTCATGCCCTGAATTTCTCATCATTGCATGAAATGAGAGTATTCACATGGCCGTAACCTCAGAAACGACAGTCACCTCGCAGGGGACTCGGGTGTTGGCGGGGCCGCACAGATGGGACGCGGGTGTCCGCAGGGACTCGGCTGTCCGTGGGGACTCGGGTGTCCGCAGGGACTCGGGTGTCCGTGGGGACTCGGGTAGCCGCGCCTCGTCTGTAGCAAAGAAGGCTGGGTGATTCAGACGAGTGTGGTGAAGTATGTCTGAGCCTGGATATTTGGATAGAATTGCCACACATAGGCCAAGGAAAAAGAAAACCGCCCTGCCCAAGCGGTTTTGCAAACAATTTGTTTGCGGGGTCAGCATTGTTAATAGATGGACGCCTATGTATAAAAACTCATAAACGCTGAGTTTACAGATATGCAGATTACAGATATTATAAACAGATATGCAACCAAACTTTGACGTCACAGTTTTGGGGGGCAAAACCATTACAGCCCATCTGTTTTGATTAGAATGACTCGCAATGATACTCACAAGTGCATTTCATGTGTTTCAGTTTTGGCTGCCGTTTATGCCGATGAAGCGCCCCAGGGAGGTGAGTAGCACTGCCAGCCCGCGAGTGGTAATGGCAGTTCAGGGTGTTTGCTGGATTCAACGTGCGCGAAGCACTTCGAAATAAATTCGCTCTCTAGTCGCCAAACATTAACTCCTCGCAAAATACTTTGACCTGTATGATAAACAGAAGCAAATGAATATCAGTCGTGCCTTTTCACACCTGTAAATGTTCATTTAATCTCCAGTCGTAGAAAGGGTAGACATACGCGCTGCTTCATCGCGTTGTCCAATCATTTGGTGCGATTGATGACGAAGCTGCCATTTTGAGCGTTAATGTCCACACTGGAATGACTGAGCCGACCATATGATGTGTGCTGCCACAGCGCATTGCAGAACCGTGCATTGTGTTGCAGTGCGGCAGGTGCAACAGCAGCCCCAGCAGGTGGAGTTCCAGAGGCCGCAGGCGGAGTTCCAGAGGCCGCAGGCGCCGCTTCCCTACCCGCTCAGGCGCCAGAGCAGTGTAAGATGCCGGCAGGCGCGACCCTGTGCTACACTCAACCGCTACCCATCCCGATGAGCGGTATCCAGCCACTACCCTTCGATCTGCCTTCCTGCAGGGCTTTCGTTCTGAAATAGAAACGTCTCAGGAAAACGTGGGACAAAAGTTTTCTTTTGCATGATAAGCACGTGCCAAAGTTGCCAGCTGAATGCGACGCGCTCGGGTGATCTGGAAGTCAATGTGGCCCCTGCAGTCTATAAACTAAGAACTAGAGACAACACGTTCACGGAGTAGATAAGCCTTTATGTGAGCTAATCGGTGTGAAATCTTGAGGTTCCTCGATTGTAACCTTTGGGTCAAATCAGGTCAAACGAGGACACATTCCGGCGCCCAAAGTGCTCACAAAGCCTCTCAGGCAACCACCTTTAACCAAGGCGGACCTATTCTAATCAACTTGGCGGTGACGTTCAGATGTGGTCAGTTACCTTATTTATTCCCTTGACGGTAAAGGTTACCAAAACCTGGGGGCTTATTTTGATATTTAAATTTACAATCGGCGTGATATTTATCTAAGCAAATGCTTGATCCAAATGGTTTAGGTGCGAGACTTCCTCTGATATTCATCAAGTAAACTTAATAAACCTTTTAACGTCGCTGGGATCCAGAATTAGAAAAAAGCGTCAAAGACTACCTCATGAAACATGTCTACCAGCATTGAAGGGGTTTGCTTCTGGTCTCGATGTGACCCTCACACCTGACTCAGTGTCAATATCATTAGTTCTTTCTTTAATTCTAATAGTTTCATTAACTAATAAATTCCCTCAAATTTGTACGTTTTGCTTATGCTCCGTTGTACCACCACATTTAATGATTTCCTAGGAACGAACTTCGCTGATAGCCAGGAACGAATCTGACCTGCCATAGGTCAGCGATGTCACAAAGTACATCTATTTCTTATGCCAAAGCATCGACTTTTCAACTATCTACAAAAATACAAATTTTAGTGGCACGGCTGCGCCGTGCTGTTTAGAAGTTATTCTGGAACAGCTTACTTACCTTATTTACAACCAAAATACAATAAATCTGGACGGATTCGTCACCCGGCCACTTCGCAGCTTTTTGCGACGAACTGTTTCCGACGCAGCTGCGGGAGAAAGTGGGCTGCCAAATGGACGCACCATTGGTCGGAACAGCTGACGCAATAGCTATTCCGTACTTACACAAGTTTTCACACAGCCAGAGAAAGGCACGAGACGTTACGTCGTTCTCAGCTGGCGCGGCGGCGCGGCTGTCGCCTGCCCACGCGTTGTGACACTGTGCATCCCCGGCAGGGCCTTGATCGCGCCCGCTCCGCCGTCATGGGCTTCATGAGGAGCATCATGGACGCCGGCGCGCGGTTCCGCCGCATGGCCAACGACCGCTTGTCGACCATGTTCAAGCGCCGCTCGTTCCGGAGGTCGCAGCAGGACGAGACCGTGCTGCGCCGGCAATAGTCGACCGAAGCGGTGCCGGCGCCGTACGCCGCTCTTCAGTGCCTTGTGTGCTTGCGAGCGTCTCCGTCCGCTCGGTGTATGCCGTCAGATCTGAGCGGCTCTCACTGACTTGTTCTGCTCTGGTGGTGCATCTGGGTGCAAATTGTTACGTGAGCCATGGAAACCGACCATTGCACCCACGTGAATCGCAAAATCGATTTCTGTTTGTTGTTATTTGTGCATTTGTTATTTGTTTACTATGTCTCTTGAGACCATGCCCTCTTGAGCTATGAGGTACCAAATACTCAGCTACATTCCAACGACTTGCAATGGTATTTGAGGAAATGCGTTGTTTGTAACGGCGTGCGTCGGTGGCCAGTTTGTCATGAGTGTCAGCAATTTGGATGCTGGTCTATTTTGTAGCTTTAGTTATTTATTTAGCGCAGTATCCACGCGCATAAATCAAACATTCTGTGACTTGCTGAGCGCTACCAGATGTGAAGGCATCAAAATAAAGTCCATCTTTGGCTGACAGTTGTGCTTTGAACGTCTTCGAACAAGTCACAATTGCTGAGGCAATGCCATGTAACGCCATGATTGTGGAATAAGCGACTACCTGGCTGTCACTCCGCTTCGCTGCCGAGGTCATACGAATCAGCTTTAGGGGTAATTTAGTGCAACCGTGGTGTGCTACAGTTTTACGGTCACAACCACAACGACCTGCTCGCTTTCATAAGTAAGAAACCGTTTGCACCTTGCAGAAGGAAGTCGTTGGGAAATGAATAAATCTTGACGTTTCAGTTATTATATATTTGCTATCACGTAAACACGTTAATAAAGGCTCACCCCATTCCGTTCAAAGTAATATGACTTGGTTTGTCCCACGAGTGAAAATGCCTCTGACTGGGCTATCGCGTCCGGCTCGCGAGGCAGCGCATGTGCAGGGCGGCGGCAGAAAGGAACATCTGGGAGACTGTTATGACAGTTCTTTTGACGCGCACTACTTTAGCATCCAACACCATTATCACGGCGAAACGAGATGGCCGTAGGAAGCTGCCTATCATCGCAGTCGATCAAATAGGAAATGAATCGCCCATCATAAACATTCGGAGCAACATGGTGAACATGTTGGACCTCTTTGATGGGCATTGGTGTTCGTAGCATACATAGTCACTTTGAACGGAAGCAGGGGCCTTATGCTGCTGTACAGGAGACGAGCTCAGCAGCGCATCCTCCCACGCAACTAAATAGGTGCAAGCATAGTCCCACCCGAAGCGAGTTCTAATTGCCCCCGCTTTGCCGTTTGGGCGGACTACCGGTCCGCATTTCAATTAAAGTTGTTACTTTCTAGCCTCAGTTCGATCATTTTCAACATGTCGTTGGCAAGGGTGGACCTATCATTGTGGCAGCAAAGGGCTGCTCTGCACATCTCAACACCTTCACCTTGTGGCATGCAGGACCGCGGTCTTTTTCATATCCATCCGAAGCAACAGAAAATGGGCCACACCCTGCCCCGTGACAGGCTGGAACAGCTGACCCATCAGGTGCAGAAAGTCACTGGTGTCCTTAAAGTGGGATCCCAGGTCTTACACGTGCTCTTGCAGCTGTTACTCCCCCCCCCATCCGTTCAGGAAGGTGCTCCTTCCCGTTAACAATAAGCCTCGAAAGGATGACACGTAGTACTGACTTCCACACGTGGAACGGTGCCTCGGTACATGTACGGTATATTCAACATAAAAACGCACGCGCGAGACATTAAATAAAATGCCAGAATGCAGTGGTCCCCAGGTCCAAAAGACGGCCATTACAGCGATGAAGTCAGCCCCCCTCAGCTGAAAGGCCTTCCCATGCCGCGACTTTGCTACCTCCTAGGCCAAATTCTGAATAGGCGACTGACCAGCAGTACCATCTGCTGCGTGCGTATAACAAAGAGCTGTCGTAAAACGGATCTGCAAAGCTCTATCGATGATGTGCAGTTGGAGCTCAAAACTCAGCAACCTGACATGACCGGAAACGGTTGTGTTCCGGACCGTGCTTAATGAGACGAATCAATGATACGAGCCAAGATTCACCGCGCCGCCTTTACCGTTTACTGCGCCACCGTTAACCGTTTGCTGCTCTGCCGTTACCGTTAACTGCGCTTCCGTCGCCGTTGCCTGCGCTGCCGTTAACCGTTTACTGCTCTGCCATTACCATTTGCCATATCATGCAGGGCCAATAAAATGTCTGCACAGCACAAAAGCGCCTGATAGTGGATCACCAAGCCACCTCCGCACTAGTGAGATGCTTACTTCCGAAGTCCCTTAACTCTCGGCTCTCTTGTCGCAGTGAGATGGATGACGGCAGGTCATAACTGTTGCCCGCCGACCTAAATTAGACATGTTTGTGTGAGCAGTTACCATCATGACTACACATGAAAACTTCTGTGCCCATTTTCTCGGCGTTACTTTGATCTCCAAAGTGAATTGACTACGTTGCAATGATGCTGCCTAATTTGATGTCAGGAGGAGCAACTGACATCAGGAGTAAGGGGTGGCTGAGGTTTTGGATGGGAAGGTCGTGTCTCCTTCCAGTCATTTTAAAAGAAGGGTAGGCATTCGTTCAGCACGTGTTAGGTTATGAAAAGTGTTTTGATTCATGCAAAGCAGTGCTTGCTCGCGTATATTTCATCACCACTGGCCGCGCAGGCGAAACATTTATCGAGGGAGCAATTCTTCGCAGCACATTTCTCAATTTCATCATGCGACATATACCGCAAAAACAATTATAAACGGTGCTTCAAGAAGCAGTGCACTATTCACGAAGAGCCAAAAGCACATTATCAACACGTTTGGACATCAACTTTTGTGCCTATCTCCAACTGTTCAGGAAGTCTCGATCTCTGAACGGTGGCCGCCTCTGCCTCGAGCTCCGGGTAACGGCTGGCGATCGACGCGGCTCGAGCGAGCCGGCAGGCCGCTCGACTGGGCGGGCACGCGGTGACAGTTGTCGCCGAGCACGGACACACAGCACGCCTCCGCGGTGACGCGGAATAATCCAGATACCCGTACTGTTTGGTAGAGTAGGTGTCTGGTAGGAGGAACGGAAGCAAACGCTACTGCATGCACACGCCGGCAGCGCAGCCGGCCGGCCCGCCAAAACCACGACCGGGAGTTGAAAAGAGGGAGAAGACGTGGTATGTTTTCGCAAGGATTCGTGGATCGTATGATGTAAGATAGAAATGTACTGCGTAGAATTAGTTCTTCCTTAAATATCCCAAGCTAATGGAAGGAGACACAGACCTCCCCACGCAGGACATCGATGATTTTCAATGACACTGCGGTCAATTCGCCACTTAGACGTTTCTGACACATCGGGACAGGTTGTTGGATTTGGGCCCAAGCCGGGATTACCACTTCCTCCAAGTGCGCGCGCGTGTGTGTGTGTGTGGGGGGGGGGGGGGGTCTGTGGTAGGGAGCGTGCGCTGCTCGGCGCGGCTGGCCGGCTGCGGCTGGTGTTCCGCCTCGCCGGCTGTCGCTATCATGCCTTCTTACAAGAGCAAAATTTGTGATGAGGAGCCCATTGATCAGCATACGGGCCACATGATGTTACGCACACGACTCGGCACGTTATGACTCCGGTACACAAGACATCAACACACACGTGTAAGCCACACTGCTGGGATGAAGCTGGTGCCCGGTGTATTGGCGGGATGGCTGGTCCGGTCACACATCATAAACAGCTGTTTCCCCATATATAATTGGGCGCCCTTAACCATGGGATCCCACTTTCACCGTATGGCTGGCGGTAATATTTAAAGGAGGCAAAAACGGAACCAGGTGAATTAAAAAGCTAAACGTCCTGAATTCCATGGTACGCTTGAACTGGCAGGGATCCCACTCAACCGGCCAATTACATATGTAAGGGTCCACTGGATATCAATCCTGAGAGCCCTCTCGTCCTGAACCAATCCACACCGACTTCGTGCATCCGGCGCCCCACCACACTCACTCCAGGCACACACATCAGGCGCCCCACCACACTCACTCCAAGCACACACATCCGCTGGCGCCCCACCACACTCACTCCAAGCACACGCATCCGGCGCCCCACCACACTCACTCCAAGCACACACATCCGGCGCCCCACCACACTCACTCCGAGCACACACATCCGCTAGCGCCCACGCCACCCCACCCACTCTTGACTCGCACATGATTAGCCCTCTCCCCTTTGCAAGGGAAGGGGGCTAACCATGCGCAATTAGCTACGAGGCCCTTCTTGTAAGCGTCGATGGCGAGATCTCTATCGCGCCTGAGTTTGAGTTTTGAGTGAGTTTTGCAATGAGTTTTGTTTGATGTTGAGTTTTGAGTTTTGCAATCCACCACCGCACGGCGCGCTCCTCGGAGGCCTGAGGGTGGACAGCGCGCTTGATTGGGCGATGGAGCCCCTCAGCAGACAGCGAGTCCCCGGCATGACCTGCGTTACACCTTATAGTCCGTACGGCCGGCGCGCTCCGGAGACTCGGCGTGATCGGTCTGTCCGACGACCCGGTCCCTTGTCGCCCCTCCCACCGGTGTCGATGGCGGGATCTCTATCCGTGCCGAACATCCCGTCATCGAGAGCTCATAAGGCCCGGCGTGTACCACGTCGGTAGAGAACGGGCAGTGTCCTAGCCTCTCCCGAGGCGTTGTACACTAACGGATTAATACAGTTATCGCCATGCATGACCTTGCATACCGGACAGTCCGAACTGGTCATTGGTCACACTATGATCTGCGCCTCTAAATGCCGTCATGCCTGAGGTCAAGTGGGAGACAACGAAGCGAGTCGACCGCCCTCTGACCCAAAAATAAATGAAGCCGTGCCTTCGTGTTGCGCCATCCATCGAACGTTTATCTGTGTAAGAGTGAGACTGCCGTCGTCTGGCTCCTGGCTCGTGACTATGGTCGAGTGCTACGTAAATTACGGCAAGACTAAGACAACGTTCGGCTGTTCTCATCAACGGCCTTGGGAATCGTCTGGCTCATCTGTGGCCCGCGGTCATTGACCACTTTAACGCCAAACATCTGACCTTGCCGTGACTTCATTATCGCTTTAGCGCTAATCAATTAAATCGCAGCCCACCTATGTTTACAATTATTCACACGTAGCCACATCATTCACACATCAGCATTTTGCGGGACTTCTTTCTCACGCGTTACATATCGCCTCTCCCCGTGCTTAATTAAAGGACCACAGGGTCGCCTCGTTTCTCGTCCCGAGGCACAGTGCCGGGCCGGGAGGGCCGCATGGTCAGTGCACCCCCTCACGCTCCTCAATTACGCAGGAGGAAAGGGGCTGTCGTGGCTCGCGCCCTTCCGGTGGGAAGGGTCATTCATGATAACTTCGGCCATGTTTTTTGAACCCACCTTGAAATGTAACTCAGAACATAAATTGAGATCTATTTTGAGCTTAGAACAAACATGCTGTCTTGCGGGAGGACTCGTCTTTTGGAGGAATATTACGCAGCTTGCGATGATTTGGCATCGCCAGGTACTTGGACCAAAACAATATATATCATATGACACCCCGAGCGAGCAATGCCTTGAAGTACGCACATACGAATACAAGTGGGCTTCTACTCCTGCTTTTCTACAAATAAATGTAATTGTGGTGAAAGCCTGCCGTTGGCAGACATTGTAGAGTCCAGCAATGGTATTGCGGGGTCATGCTGACCAGGGATGGCGCAGCGAGGAGCACACAGGGCACGAGCATGCTTCTCCTCCACCTAATCTTTTGGATATCTTTTTTGCCAACTAAAAGTATGCAGATACACGTGGGTTACCAATACTCAGATCAAGGAGGCCCCGCTAAATGAGCCAGTGTTAAGGAGACCCCTTTGTGTTGAGGATGTCCCTTTGCTGGCTTGGGAGGCGCGGTCACCGACTGTGAGGCCCCTGTTCTGGTTTAGAAGACACCCTCTATATTTAGCAGCGCCCATCTCTGAAACAGGAGGCCGCTTTCAGGCGCCAGCTGGCTGCAGATCTGGATGACAATGCTTTGCTTGGGGTAGTGAAGCCAGTTGGGTAGATTTGAAGGCCACCTTCGTGATTCGTGCTCATGCCGTTTTGGATTAAGAGGTCCTATGCAATAGAAGGCTCTTTTCTGGAGCAGGAGTCTCTGTTTTAGGTAAGCGAGACCCTTTGTTAGACAATAAACAGGCCCCCATTCAAAACTTTTTGCCTATCAACATTGGTTTATTTGACAAGGATACACGTAACAGCTTGATGAGGGGCACATGCTCTCGGTGCCCTTCCCCCTTGAATAAGACACTGCGCAGGAAGCCCCCAGTAAGGAGGTCTCCCTGTGTACAGGAAGGCCCTGGAAAATCCTGCCCCCCCTCGTCCCCCCCCTAACTCAAAAGTTGCGGCGCCGTCTCTGGTGGCGACTTCGCTTCTTGAATAAGTGAAGAATAATAACTTCTTTAATAATTGAATAAGAATAATAGCTTCATGAATAAATGAAATAAGTGAAGACTTCCCTTCCCCCTTAAATAGGACACTGCGCAGGAAGCCCCCAGTAAGGAGGTCTCCTTGTGTACAGGAAGGCCCTGGAAAATCCTGCCCCCCGTCCCCCCCGTCCCCCCCGTCCCCCCCGTCCCCCCCCCTAACTCAAAGGTCACGGCGCCGTCTCTGGTGGCGACTTCTTCCCTCTCGGAAGCTCGCTACTTTGCTGACATTTCGGAAATGAAGGCCTTCCTGAAAATAAATTGGGCAAATTCTGTCTTCAAATTAAATAAAAAATGAGCTTCGGTTTGTTATAAGGTTAGGGTGCATGGCAAGCTTTCCTTTTGACTTAATCTCTGCGAATAGTAGCCGTTTCGATACGTTGGTAGGGATCTCACAGCGCACGGGAGCTGTCTATGTCAGTTAAAACAGCATATGACGGTGAAACTATTCCCGCACGGGGCCTGATGCGTGGCCGAGCTCGGCCGCAGGCCACCTCAAGACTCGCTGCTTGACCCACCACACTGCAAGCCAGCCAAGACTCTATGGCGGCGTGCGACGCCCGATTCGAACGGACGTAAGGTGCGCTGCATTTGTCGCGGCCACGTCCAGGCACGAACGTCCGGCGCTGGGCGCGAGGACGACAAGGTCGCGACGGTCGAGCCGACACGCCGTGCCACACGCTCATTGTGCAAACAATGCCTCGTGGCTGCCGGGGAGTGGATGGCGGCGTCACGTCCGGCCGCGCTGTTTAAAACGGCCGCCCCCGCCGCGGTGGGAGCAGTGGAGCTCCCTGGCGCGGTCGACACCACAGTCCACCGCCGCACACATGATGCCGACCGTCGGCGGCTGGCGGCACGCTCTGCTGGTCGTGCTGTGCGCGGTGGTCGTTTCGACGGAAGACCAGGTGGCGTCGCCGGCGGCGGAGGCCGGCGCGCGACAGCTGGAGCCGGACGCGGAGGGAGTCGCCGACGGCGGCGACACGGACGCCCGCTTCCTCTTCAAGGTGAACAGGCGTCGCTACAACCGACGCTACCCCGGCAACAACTACAACGGCTACGACTACAACTACAATGGCCACGACTACTCGTACCAGTGCCAAACCTGCGGCTATGGCGCGGTGGACTACACGACCGCTACGCCGCTGCTGCCAGCGCGGCTACTCCAACTGCTGCTTTGAGTCCGGCGGCGGTGAAGTGAAGCCCGGCTCGTGCCCGTACAGCGTGTGGGACGCCATCAGTTCGTCCTACTGTCGATCCGACTGCACCAGCGACACTGACTGTTACGGCACGCAGAAATGCTGCAGCCAGGGCTGCTCGCGCACCTGCCGGTACCCGGACACCGGATCCGGATCGGGTTACGAGAAGCCGGGTTCCTGTCCGTACTACGGGTCAAGAGGCGGCCGCAGCTACCCGTCCTATCCATACTACTCCGGCAGCGGCTCGACCATCGGTGGCAGCTACTGCCGACGCGACTGCTACCAGGACTCCGAGTGTCCCGGCAGCCAGAAATGCTGCGAGATCAACTGCTCATCCACCTGCGTCGCACCCCAGCGCTACTACTGAAGCAAGACGCGGGCTCCCGATGCACACTTCCCCCGGCTTGAACTTTCGCGGCTGCGCAAGGTCGCCCGCAGAGCCCCTGGTCGGGCCGAAACGCCATTACGGGGAATGACGTATTCCGATGTGTTTTGCTGCTCATGCCGCTGCGCACCAGGCGAAACTCTGTGTCTGAGAAGGAATTCGCAGGGGTTGCATCAATTGCGCAAAGTTTCGATTTGGAAGTGTATCACATGACGCCGCAACAAATGAACAGCCAACAGCATCGTGACATGGTTGTATTGTACTTTGTCAATAAATGTCAGAGCTATCAGTTAGGCGGAAAAATGTCCATAATATGCGGCATATTTTATGTTATTTAAACTGGACATCAAATGTGTTACAATAAACTAGCAAAACCATAATGTTGTCATGAGGTTGAAGTTGTTATACTGACGATAATCGGCCTTCACTCTCCGTGGGGATGCTGGTTAAGCGACCGCAGCAGACAATCATTGGCTACATTGACAAAACTCGGCTTTTAAGCTGTGTTCACGGTCACGAGTAGCAGGGTTGGCGACGCTGTTGATCCTTCATTTTTTATTGCTTTCTAGTTGTGCGGGCTGGGGGTTCCCATCACTTTCCGAATGTGAGAGAATGTTCCGCACAGCCTCAAGCGAGACCCCAATTTGTCGAACTCATGTACACGTGTCTTGGCAAAGCTAGTAAGAGTACTCAATCCCACATAAGACGCTAGGCGCATCTGGCACGAATACTTTTGCGCTGTGGGTGTAGCAGACCGCGCACATTACGCATAAATGGTGGAAATAGAAAGCCATCACGCTGTAAATGCCACAGCCGGCGCTCGCCACCCAGGCTGCCCACCGTCGTTTCGACGCTTCTCGGCTAGTGTTCCAAAGGTGTGGGGCATTATCGGTCTCAGCCAGGATCATGGCGACCACATCGGTGGCTGCCCTGCCCCAGTGCTGGGTTGACACCGTGATGCGGAATTTGGTCCTCCGATATATGCTCTGGGAAATAACAAACCCAAATTTCGCAAAGGAAAAAAAATCAAAAACGGTTTCTTTTCATGTACGTCTCTGACATAAGAAACAAGAAGTTTACTGAAGTGAAGCTCCGAAAAGCTCGTTGTACTTTTATGGTAAAAAGGGACACAAACTCCTGATTTACGACAACTGTGACTCTAAGTGCGTCGTCGCCCAGGTAATGCTGATAGGTTTATCTCATGCACGGCATTGTTTGTAACAAAAGTCACTTATCGCATGGTGCTAAATGGGCCGCGGGTCAGACTTATGAATGCCTCACGCAGCAAGGACAAACAACGCTAGCTGGAGATAATCTTTCTGGGCGCATCTCGTACGGGTGAACTGAAATTGGTTTCCTGTTAAAGTTGACAAAGGATGTCAAATGACAATGAAAGGAAAAGTTAAGATCGATCACCTATGGCAATGTCTGTACTTTACGACTGGACCTTCCATCCTGGGCCTGGATCTGGATCTCATTATCAAACCAATGGTCCCAATTCAGCAATGCTACAACCATTTCTTCGCTGCAACCCGATTTTCAAAATTTACGTACGCCATCTGACTCCGCCACTTCAAGTGTATTGATGCTGACTTGGTCATATAACAATGGCCTATTGGTAAAGCAAATTATTCTTGTTAAAATTTTGCAAGACTTTAAACGCGATATTTCTGTTTGTGTTCCATTATAGCCGGACACTGGCAGATTGGTGGGATGCAACTCCACGGGCGATAGAGCCCTCCACGCTGTGGCGTCGCCATGGTGTATGCCGCGGTGTAGTCACCGTATGCTCAAATAAGTTCCCTAAATGGGGGAAGTTTTAGAAAGCCGGAGTAAACCATTGTATATCTGACGTTTCATTCTGATTTTGTCCGTCAAAGGCAGATCCGTGCGCCTTTCCCTCCCGCAACCTGAACATGGTATTGACGCTATGAAGTCAGCAGGCTCACGGAAACATTTGGGCCTAGCGGCATTTTCTGCTACCCATGGTATAATGCAGTCCCAACAGTTTTTGTTTGTTAGAGGACTCGGATTCATTTCCTGTTAAAATTAATTAAATCATTGGGTTCCAAAAATCACTGCCCGTTCATGTTTCAGCCTTTTTGGCGCAGTATCATCGGTCCAGATCACAGGTCCAGTGTTGCAATAAAATGCGGAAAAGTAATACAGGAAAAATTGCTGGAACGAATTTTGAATCAGAGTGCGTGCTGGATATAGCTTATTGGTTGTGTGAAGGCATCGGGACATTCTTGGTTTCCTGACTCCCGCTGTTGGTGCGCTTTGCGGGATGCCGCCACTCATTTTCGATAAGGCGCATCTATGACGTCACCGAGTCATCCTGTGCCCTCTCCCCACCCGAGAGCAATACTTATGTCAAAAGCCCATTGGTCAGTCTGCGAGTCGGAAGATGATCAGCTACGACTGCGACACGCAGGGACTCCAGTGCGCTCGACATCAGCACACAGCGTGAGCCGCAGAGCTGGAATGAAAAGGGTGGCCGGCTAATGGGCGGGATGGTGGGAGCAGTAGCACCATGTACGGCTGTCTCCCCGCTTGTGAACCCCTAAAAGAATAATTATATAGTTCGGGCCCTTGAACCGCCCCTGTGCGTGCCATATACTCGACAGTTACCCAATGCGTGAAAAAGGTGCTTAGGAAGCCAGACTATTTCAGTGATCCGCTCAGATGGCTTTTTCCACCAGCGAAACACCCGAAAGCGGAATCGAACCCCCCCCCCCCCCGCCCGAGTAGGTTAAATCAAAGATAAGCACACGGGCGGGCACCTTCGTTTCGAACGGTTTGTACTGTAAGTTCTTGGCGGGCACTTGCCGCCTGTCGCTACGAATCGATTTTCAGCCACACGTTTTGATTGGCGATCGAGTCGGGTCTCAATGTCGACCTGAAGCCTGTCGGGCAAACATTGTGGGTTTCGACGGAAGCGTGCGGTAAGCCGAGACCAGCGCGCGAGTCAGACCAGCGGCCGCATACTGATGTGACGGGAAAGCCAGCAGGAAGCCAAGGAACCGGTGAGCATGCCTTCCCAGACGCTCTGCGAAGGACGCCCGGGTGTTGTATGGCGAATTTGGTCTCTTTGTCTTGCATTTGACCGGCCATATCTGCTGGTTGAGCCGACTATTGCGATTTGTTGATGGATGTCAACTGGCAGTTTGTCCTACGCCCAAAAGTGGGGTTTATTAAAACAACTGAAACTAATGGAATGCGGCTTTCAGGATGCATGTATGTTTCAAATTAAATGGAGAAATGTAGACTAATGGTTGCATTTCGACATCCCTACACATTGGTCCGTACCAATGTGCACAAATCCCTAAACACTCAGGCGTCTTTCACGCATGAGAAAAAGGGAGTGGTGTGTCATCAAGTTAAGGAAGCTGCTGTACCTTTTTAGTATGTAGAAGGTACCTGGCATGATTGTAGACATTGTAATAAGAATACATGATCAACTGCTTGCCGCTGATCATATTTTAAACACTAAAAACAAGCTACAATGTACGACGAGGTTTCGGTCCCAAACAGTCTACGAATAATAACCTTCATTCCCCTCTCCTATAAACACATTTTCAAATTCACGCAAACACACACTCGTCTTAGCATCGTTTGCCAGTATCGTTCGGAAGGTAACATGTCGTACCAAACGTCTTTCGAAATTATATCACATCGCAAGGTTCCCTGTGCATTGAAACCAGTCCGAATGTTAATTAATAGAATGGCAAAGGCCTGCCACTCGGTCCTAACTACCGGGCGCCACAAAATTATGCCGCGATGGTAACAAAACCGAATGCAGACTCTACCCAACAAAATAAGCCAAGGACCAGGAACAAGTCATGGGCAAGTTTGGGCAAGTCATGTGTTCAGGGTTGGATTCCAATTTCTGGTATGGATTGCTTCATTACTTTGGTCTCGGCGCAATCGCGACTTGTTGAAAGAAGCTCGATTTGAAAGGCATGTGTTTAATTTATAATTTTTGCTGTTGACAAGTCACTGCAAGCCATGCTCACCCTAGAGCCTGTTAAGTCTGCGTACGTGGACGTCTCCATGATGTTAATTCAATCGATACCAAAAGTGGACTTCTGCTCTCGCCTACGTAAAACTCGATTCACTCTCTCGTTTCGCAAAGTCTATGTGTGATTTTTGTACACGAGTTCTGTTAAGAAAATCCCCAGAAAACCACAGCCACGGGTATGGTAGCGTTGACAGGCCAATGGACGGGGCGGTTTTGTGAAGACAACCCATGAAGCTTTGCTTCAGGGTGTGCCGCAGACCATATACTCTTGACAAAGACCTGAGAGGTGCCTTAGCCCTCCTGATTGTTCTGTTTACCCGCCGAACTATCATAACGTAGGCATATGGCAGGTGCATGCGCACCAGCTGGTTCAGCTTGTGGGGGTGTTGTAGAGGCATGTTTGGCAGTACTGGTGGTGTGATTAAGTTCTCTGAATGGCCATTTTTGTTGAATATTCCGTCATGCATCTGAGACTGTGGTGAACGGCCGGCTTGTCTTACGACTGTATGTGTCATCTGTGAATGAAGGACAGCTCTTGCTCATGGACTGCGCTGGGGAACAATGAGAGCCACCATTGGCTTGAAGAAAAGCCCAGAAATGTGCTGTCACGAGGGGTTTTTGAGCGAACTGGACCACCCGAAGGGTGCACAGTGATCAACGTATCAACAAATGAGATACGGTCTGCTCCATACGTCCGTTCCATGGTCATTCATGTGGCAGGAATGGGTGAATTTATCAAATTCAGCACATGTGTTAGCTTGTCTAAGGCATGCGCCCATACTCAAAAACTATCATCAATATACTGAACGTATAAGTTCCTGTTTGGCATCCAACTACCTGCATAATAAGCCTAGCCAAGACCTCCCGGCTGCTTGTCGACATTGCCCAAAACCACAAGAAAAAGATAGCTTACATCTTAACATATCTGATCGCAAACCAACGCCACCTCTCTCAAAAGAGTCTACGGGTGGTGGTGGACCAATTCCTACCATGGGGGGAATAGCACATTTCCAAAGTGACCATAACATGCAGTTGCGCCATTCTCTTTTTGTACCATTTTTGTTCTTCTTCTCTTTTTTCCTTTCCTATTCCCTCCTTGTGACACCACTTCACCCCCGAAGGCCATAGCACTCTTGCCCAAAGCAACGTCCTTCCACGTGTTCTGTACTGCATCTGCATCGGCTCTGCTTCACGCGCTGCCACGCGTGGACGGAAGGGACGCGACGGTGGACGGAAGGTGACCTGACGCCGGCCTGCGCACCGGAACTCTAAAGATCCAAAGCTAAACCCCAAGCTTCTGGAGCTCACCGGTGTACTCAAACGCCTCGAATTTGGCGTTGTGCTCCTAG